CCCCCCCCCCCCCCCCCCCCCCCACTGCAACTTGAGCCCATTGCTCCTTGTTCTGCCCCCACTGAGAACAGCCTCTCTCCAGCCTCTTTGGACCCTCCCTTCAGGGCGTTGAAGGCTGCTCTCAAATCCCCCCTCACTCTTCTCTTCTGCAGACTGAACAAGCCCCAATCCCTCAGCCTCTCCTCATAGGTCACGTGCTCCAGCCCCCGGATCACGGAAGGAGCAGGGCGTCTGCAGAGGAGTGGAGAGGGAGGCCACTGGGATCAGAGCCGGGGAGAGGGGCTGATGAGATCACTGGTGCTGGTGGATGCTACGTCTGGTTCCAGCGGGCCGTGTGCAGCTCCGGCAAGGTCTCCTCTGCCACCAGCTCCCGGAGCGTCTCCTCTTCTAGGTGCTCGTGGGAAATGTTCCCTTCCCCTGGCACGTTCATTCACAAAAGCAACGCGTTCTGGCTTTTTCCCACAATGGCCATTGAGCGCACCCATTGGTTGGCTCTTCTGCCCTCTCAGGGGTGCTCGAAGCAAGGAGCCGAGCCAGCTCCTCTGTCAGCCCCTGCCTGGGAGCACCGGGCACTGTCCTAGGGGAACACGGTGGGGGTGGAGAATTCCCCTGCCCCCTGGTAGACAGCCGAAGGCTCTCCCTCCATTTTCTTACCCCTCCAGAGAGAGCGCCTCCTCCTGCTGAGACCAAGACTTGCACGCCCAGTAAAGGCCGCACTCTCCCCCGTAACACAGTTCACCTTTCCCCAAGTTACTTGCTTGCACACTTAGTTCCCACACTCCCTTGCGGGAGATACGCTCACCACGGAGTCCTGAGTTTTACGGATTCACCTTCTCCTACCTGGGCTTTTCCCTTTTCCGGCTAATGACACCAGGGCCGGCATCTCGTTGGCTAATGCGTCTGTGTCCAATGTAAAAAGAAATGTCCTGGTGCTTTCAGGCTGGCAGTCCCTTCCTCTTCAGCTGCAGCCGTGTCCATGGGTGCTACGGAAAACCCATCGGCACCTGAGGTTCTCGTCTCGTTCTCGTTGTGCCGTGGCACGTTGCATGACTGGCTGTTAGCCAGGCTGGGCAGGGATGGTGTCCGTGGCTTCTGTTTGTCACAGGCTGGGAAGGGGTGACGGGAAGTAGGTCACTTGATGGTTCCTGCTCTGTTCACTCCCTTTGGCGGCATCTGCAATTGGCCACTGGGCTAGGTGGACCTTTGGTCTGACCCAGTCTGGCCATTTTCACGTTCTTATGTTCAGTCTGAGGCTGAAAAGATGGGTCTGTAGCGTGGCAGGAAGAGATGCAGCTTCTAATGAGACATGTCCACTTCGCATCTGTAACGCCACCCGCAACTAGTAGCTAAACGTGGCATGGAGCAAGGCCCAGAGACCGCACCAAGGCAGGAGCATATCCTCGGAGATGCCTTCAGAGTTTGGGTTGGCCATCTGGAGCTCCAGCCACCCATGTGCCTGGGCCCGCTCTGCTAACATCACCATCCTTTGCTCTGGTGCATCTCTGACCCAAGAGGAAAGGGCGTGCAGCAAGCGGGAGTTTAGCTTATCAAGGGATCAGGACCTGTTCCCAAAGCCAACCAGTGGTAAGTCACAGCAAACATGCAGAGGTCATAAAAACATGTTATCTGAGCCTTTGAAAGGGGAAATCGATGGAAGAGACAAAAGAGCAATTGGCAGGGGAAATTGTGTTAATGTGAAGCTAGTATCTGTAAACTTTATTTTATCTGCTGATTGTAGACAAGCACGCCCCTGTCAAATCATAGAATCCCAGCACACTAGAACCGGAAGGGACCTCAAGAGTCATCAAGTCCAGTCCCCTGCCCTCACGACAGGACCAAGCACCGTCTAGATCAGGCATGTCAAACTCGAAACCTACTGAGGGCCACACAAATGAAAACTGATCGCTTTTAAGGCCACCAAAGAAAAAATACATTATCGGAAAGTTGTAATTATTTATTATTATAGATTATGTTTTAGGTAGATTTTATAATAGTTTTTCAGGTCTTGTTTTAATATAATACAATCATTTGATGTGTAAAATTATTTGCTCATATAAAATCATTTTTAATTTAAATATAAATGTAAGGTACTTTTTAATTTTTTATGATACGTAACTTGTTTTGTTGAAATAAAAACAAGTATAGACCATGGCTAATCAAATAGAACAAGCTTCTGTGAAAATTTCAGATACTTTGCAAGTTGAGATTTTGTATAAGCATATAATTATTCGTGCAATTGCAAAAAATTAACATATATTTATTGATATAAAATTAATATACATTTTGTGATTTTATTTGGGAATAAATATATAAAAAACAAAATATTAACAAAATAACCCCCAGAGCCAGGTACTCCCATACCCCGTTCTAACCCAATGCCTCCTCCCTCCCCCAGAGCCAGGCATTCCCCTCCCCCAACCTAACCCCTCCCCCTTCTCCTCCCCCAGAGCTAGC